TTATTCTTTTTTTTAGTATTTGTTTATTAGGTATATATTAATAAAATTTTAGTTGATAGGCTACAGGGCAGCTATTTATTTTTATTTTACTTATATTAATTTGTGAACAGTACATTTTTTAGTTGTTATACTTACCATTTGATTTATATTTTTGTCTTTATTTTTAAGCATTCACACAGTTTTCAGTAATTACACCACATAGCTTACCATAGCTTACTGGCGTATATAGGGGAGAGCTTCCGTGGGCCAGGTCCATAAACAAATTACAGGATAAATTCAAACATTGTATGCATATTGCTTTATGTATGGACCGCAGGCATACACATAGTCAAATCAGGCATTTTACTAAATGCCAATGCAAATGGTCAAATAATTTAATTTGAATGTGATTTTACTATCCACCTAAACATTTAGTCATAAGCCTATTCATTTAATTAAATGTCCAAACGTTCAACTAAATGATTATTTCAAGGCACGACATTAATCAATATGAAACGCTTTTGTGTAATTTTAAAAATTAACTATATTTCTTATTAACTATCCATGGATATTTTATTTTAAAAATTATGTATAATTTATTTATACCTATGTAAAATGCGTAAGATGTATGGAATATTTTTAATATAGTGTCCTCCGGTACTAATTTATAACTTAAATTGCTATACACCAATAAAATAGTTTCTAATAAGTAATAGAGTTATAACTTAACATTACTACTCACAAATATACATCAGGCAGTGGCGTATATAGGGGGGAGGCCCCCTAGGCCAGAGCCCATATTGAAATTGCAGGTTCTATTAAAGCATTGCATGTATATTTACACTGTTAACAGTTTTTCACCATGATTAAGTTAGCCGGTTGATTAAAATCATTTTTGAGTAATCTACAAGGAAATGTTAGATATATTGACGGGACTTGCTTTAATGACTTATTGACTTTGATGTTAAATTCATAGTAAGATAACATTAAAATATACAAACGACACTGTCAATATTTTTAAAAAAAGAAACAAAAAATTAATTTTACATAATAATTATAAAATTGAATTGCGCAATTTTTATTTGAACTGTATAATACGTCATAATTCTTAATTATATAACAGCTGCTCCCTTAAAAATGTATAATTATGGCTATGCTGCTTGACTAGTGATAATTGATAAATCGGCCCATAGTGAAAATAATTCGTATATACGCCACTGACATCAGGTACAGTGTACATCTAAGGTCGATCAGAGGTGGTGAGTCCAATATAACGCAAAAGGCATTAGGTAACAGGGATCAAGCATTACTATTGTATATTCCTGGCACGATCACATATAATAATATTATACATTAAATAACTGATAAAACACACATCATAGTAAAACCGCTCCTCTCAAAATCGAATACAAATAATAATCGTTTAAAATGTTTAATTACAAATTTAAGTACTAACGTACTGTATAAATAAAATATACTCAACTCTGTAAAATGAGTGTACTGGAAGAATACTGTTTAGAAATCCGAATCGAATGGTTTAAATATAATTCTAGTCTCTAACGTCTCATACCTTAGTGCCATTTAATGCAATAATAATTATTATTAATGGTAAATTTATTACTAAAGTAGGTTACTAAAATCTAGTGAAAAAATTGTTTTCATACCCTATAGCTACCATATGCGTAATAATGTATACTAATATAATAATATCTATCAAATAAAAATATAATTGTTTTCATGGATCAAAAATTCAAGAAACGGAGTAAGAATAAAAAAATTTTAAATGTAATTATAATTAACTGGCATCAGTAGTTTAGGAGGCATCAGAATTCCAATGAGACCCTCTGGAGAAGTTCTCATTGGCACAACATTGTTAATCATTGTAGATCATAGAGTTGTTTCATCATATGTTTAATAATGGTTAAGTTGTTAACCACTACTGATGCAAATTTATAGGGCGTCGTCAGCGTATTTAAGCAATAATATCCCCGAGGCCAACACCAGTCTTGCATCTTGGCCAATGCCAATTTGACGAGCAACGGAGGTCGAAAAAGGTGTCCGGAGAATCGAGCGGATTGGCGAGACGTAAAAAAGTTTTGATGGCTAATTTCGGGGTAGCTGTGACGAAAGTTCTGGAACGGAGGCTAAAGCTTCGCGGTGGACAGGCCGTCCAAACACTCTCGATTGCCAACGCCATCTATCGACATCGACGAGTCTGTCGTTCGAGACCGCTCAGTAGTCAGTACGGCTGGTGGACACGACCGTCGCGGCGCTCCGAGGTATTCGCAATTCACGCAATATGTAGAGGTAGACACGATGTGGTACGTAACTATTCCGTATCGATACGTATCGAATTTTTCTTCTTGAAAATCTTGAATATTATTACTCTGGCAGTCACTAGGCATAGCGGTTGTAGACATAATTATATATTTATTAATTTTACAACCGTGTTCGGCCTATAAACTGGTGGACAGCACGTCAGCACTTATAGCAGAGAGTGAAAGACCTGTACGTTTGAGACGTTTACAGTGTTTTCTCACCCACTCCATCTCGTCCCCTTGAACTACTGTGGGCAAGGTGGTGTGATAGGCGCAGTCTATTAATTCATGGGTCTAGGGTGCTCAGCGTCGAAAAATGAGTCGTAAATCGTAATAGTTTGAAGGCACTTAATGCGCGCAAAGTCCGCCAAGAGCGCTAAGAAAGTAGAATTTCTTAATAATTCTGTGTAGCAGTATACGCATTTAAGCTTTAGGAACAAAATTTAGTTTGCTTCCCATTTTTTTTTTTTTGAAATGTTAGTATTTTTATACTCGACGTGTTGGTCGAATCAGAACATACTTTAACTTGCCTAATTTTTATATTATTATAAATAAACCACGTAACGCTTAAGTAATTGTATGTTTTTTTTCAAATTTAAAAGTGTACGAATGAAGGACGTGTTGCCATACATATTGCTTTGGTACGAACATTGATTAAATACAAATTTGTATTTAACCAATAGTACGAATATTCACTTTTCAAACGAAAAACGAATCGATTCCACATTGTTTGGACCAAATTGGAATATTTTTACATTTTAGGGAGAAAACTAAATGTGCAATCATTATCTTTACCTGTTTCTAGTTTCTACACTTTTAGATTATACCTACCTATTTTATACATTAAGATTATTAATTATTATTATTTATCCTACTTGGTTATTCACAACGTGTGATAGTCAATACTTGGATTTGTTTTGTAGGTACTATCGGACTCTGTCAACTTTTATTATTTATCTCATTTGATTCTACTTCGAATTATTGAATTATTAATTTATTATATCTATTCAAACATTTCACCACAATTGCATATTACGTTGCCACCGTCTTACACTATAATATACTATAAGTATAATACATATTATATAATATATCAATGTGAATACATAGGTTTATAGTAGGTATATACTATAATAGTATAATATAGTATGTACCTAATACATAAAAACCTTAAAACCGATGTATATTACACAATTTTTTAAGACATAAATTATTGTCATAATAAAACTGAAGTGCCATTACTTGGGTTTTGAACTTTAGTATTTAAGTTACTTAAAGATCTGTATGTTAGATTCAACTCTTGATTGGAATAATCACGAAAAATCATTATACAACCTACATAATATAAATACATAATTAGGTTTATTATACAATTTGTTTAATATAAACTTATTTTTTTAATTTAAAGATTATGTATTTACATTAAAAACAATGTATAATTTACTATACCACAATATTAGCATTTGCATTTTTAATTGAGGAAAGTTAATTTATGTAAAAAAAAGTTTTAAACAATAATACATTAATACTTAATATCATAATTGAATAATGATTTGTACTGGTTTTTCGGGTTTAGGTACCCTAACATAATATACTAGGTGAATGCTTTATCGAAGAAAAATCATTATTCAAATAACTATTAGGTAATGTATTATATTTTAAAAATTATTGTAAAAATATTTTTCTTACATTATTTCAGGTTGTTATCGGGTTACCCAATTTTTATTAGCCATATTTTCAAATACTTACATTAATAAGATATTTTTTACCATTTATGAAAGGTCTTGTAGCTATACTAACTTCTTTTTTTCATATAAGAATGAGACATAAGAATCACATTTTTAACTAGTAAATCATTAATCAAGTGGTTTTTTTGAAAAAGTTGATGTACCTACCTTAAAAGAAATTCAAACAAGTATTTTTGAGTATTAGGATAGTTAATGATATTTTGTATAGTAGTTACTAGAATTATGACACTTTAGTATTGATCTCAGATTATGGAAATATTGACATTGATCAAAAACTATCATAACCTCTCAACACTGACTTCAACACTGGAGGCGTCGAAAGTAAATTTATAAAACATCAGGATGTGAAAATGTTTTTATGTTGTGTAAACTTATTACGCAACATGTAAGTATAAGTAGGTGACCATATATTGTATTTTGTATGAAGATTGCTGCAGAAGTATGAAATATTAAACAACCATGGTATCGTCATACACTCATACCAAACTTATGATGGATTCTAAATTACCCTCCTCTACATAAATAATTAACTACCCCCCCCCCCACCAGGCGTGGATCCAAGGGGGGGGGCAAGGGGCCATGCTTAAATGGACTTGTAATACTTGCATTTTTATCAGATTTATAGGCTGAAACTTTATTTAAGATGGCCCCCCCCGTAAATACGTTCTGGATCCGCGCCTGCCCCCCCACACACACATCATTATAAAATAAAAAAAAAAGGAAAATCTGGTGTAGCCATTGTTATCACTTGTATTGCTTGTAAGTAGGTACCTAAATTGTTTATCATGGAATTAAGTTTTGTATTGTAGGCATAGGAAACCTTATTATACTTATTTAAATAACAAATTATAATATAAAAGGTATTAATATTTTTTTTTAAATATTTAAATCAAACAAAACTTAATATAAAAATAAAATAGTTCAATAAAACAATATCAGAAAACAACATAATTTATTTATTAATTAGCTAAAGAGCTATATTTATTATATATTTATGAATATTGAATAATCATTTATCATACATAACTATACTTTCATATTATATGAATTGACCAGAAAATAATTTTCAAAAAATATGGGTACTGCATTAAAATCTTAAACGATTATCATCAATTTGTAACGTGTTATTCTGATTTCTGATCACACAAATATAATTTGATATACCTATATTATACATATATAATATGTGTGTTTGTGTATGTATCATTTTTTTCTCCAAATTGTTACATACATTTAAAATATTATATATAAAAATTATAGTAAAAAAAAATATGTATGACAAAAATATTAATAATAAACACAAAACAAAATTTATAAGGAAGACAGTCCAAAAAATATCACCCAAAATTGTATAATATGTAAATTTAGATTAAGACTTAAAAAATACACATTGTAATTTTGTACAATATATAATACCTTAACATGAATACAATTAAAAATACAATTATTAAATATTTTAATTTATGCTATAATATAAATATACGTTTTATTTACATAATTTTTTGAGTTTAAATTGTGTAACTCTCCCAGAGATCACTTTAATGGTTTATTTTGTTTGAACTGAAAAGTGTATACAATTAATGAGATTTATAGTTCTTACATATATATATAATATTTAAGACATCTATCTATTTAAATTTTTTTAAATTATCTTGGTAAATTCTTTTATATGATCTTATTAACATAATATTGTTTACAAGATAATATTAAGTAGGTACATTATATATTAATATAATATGTGTAATTACAATACATACTATAATTAAATATGTTACAAATTAAAATATTAAAATATCAATTATTTATGTAATAGTATTGAAAATTCATGTTTTAACGGGAGTTTAAAATAATATACCTAGAAACTAAACATCGAACCTAAGCAATAACATACTGAGCTTGAAACAAATATATTATACATTACTATTAGGTAAAAACAAGGTAGGTAGTTACTAATATCCGGTAGGTATACACATTTTAGGTAACTGTTACATAAACTGTCTCTAAACTTAAGCAGTTCAAAAAATATTCGAAAAAAAATGTCATTAACCAATTACAGTAATAACATACGAGCACCCAAAAAATCACCAGTTTTCCCGAAACAATTATCGATCATATTTTGTGCAATTCAAGAAAGCAATACGTCGATTTCCCCGTTATTTTCGGTGGCTTTGCGACGTCTGTCTTGTTGTTTAATAAATGCACTCAACCTGTTCAACAGAAACTGTTTGTCGTGTCCTTCAAGTACAAGTTGCTTGCGAAGAACCACTATCATTTTTTTATTGGATCTCATAACGGTGTGATAATAATAGACAATGCACGAAAGTATGAAAATCAACGGGACTACAAAGTTTACACTAAACAGTATTTCGTAACACGTAATCGTCCACGGAGGTATGGTGCGCATGAAGTCAACCAAAACCCTCCAAATAGACGGTAGTCCTTTGAACGGACCGCAAGACCTGGATGGCGTTATTTTTGATACAGCCGCCAACCACGTCGTCACGCAAAGGACGTAAGACATGAGCAACATGGACATGATCATTGTATGTGCTCTTGACGGACTGTACACCTTTTGAGCTAGGCTATAGTTTACGATACAAGAAAACCGTTTTATGTAAAACATTATCACCATCGATACTAGGCCTAGGGCTGGCAGCAGGGTCACATAGAAACTACCCAACCACACGATTATCTGAATGTAGATAACGTCCAATACGTGTTTGGCCAAGTTAAGTTCTTGATTGGACATCACTTGAAACAAATTATTTTTAAAATGTCTAACCAGTATGCTCCGAGGACAACTAATCAAAATGGTGATGCCGATTTTGCATGCAACGTCAACAATCAGAAGCTTATACATGATCTTACCCACGTATGTCTCCCAGCAAAGTGGAGAATTACATAATGCACTTGCACACTGAGATTTTTCCCTCACGCAGTTAATCAGCTTATAAATTGAACCCAACAGACTGACCAATAGCGATAATCTCACGCATATTATTCTCAATATACATAACCGGGTTTCTTGATACATGGAACGGTTTTCAAACTTTAAAAAAACATCAAATATAATTGGTAACACTATGTTGTAAAATGTTATCGCTACCGGCGTTGCAAATTCCAATAAAAATGCCCACATGAATGTTTGTTCTCGCTGCAACAATTTTATAGAGTAATAAAAAATCAGATAAATTGAGAAACAAGCAGACGCGATTAGCGCAATGACTAAAAATGAAATGAGCATCCTAATTATTATAATGTTAATTTGCTTACTGCGATTCCTGTTTTCGAATTTTGGTCTATCGGCGATCAAAAACGAACGCAACTCATTGAATATTGCCTTTTGCTTTAATATGGCTGATATTTTATTGTTAATACAAAAGTCCCACCCAATGAAAATGCTATTAGAATACAAATAATATTGTACTTGAGTTTCTACCATTCTTTGTTTAAATCCCTTAATCGATTTCCTAACAATGATCAAAAAAAACAAAAGAAAATAACTAATGGTTGAAACGATATATGCCAACGGTATATGATAAGTGAATAGTTTTCCGACACTAAACTGTTGATTAGGATAGTAACTATAATACATGGGTGTCGTTTCAACCCAACCTGTACCTTGAATAATATCCATAACGTAATGTATGGTTACTCGGGGCCTGGCTACCCTAGTAGTGTTCTCATAAATAGCACTACAACATTCAATAGATGCACTCTCATTACTCGAACCACATTCATTCCAGAGATCTGGTGCGATTCCTTCTTTTAATTCTACCCAATAAACTGAAGGAAGTATTAATACAATAAAAACCACAACCATTGTAAAAGCATTTAAAAAAATTAACAATTTTATAAAAAGAAAGAACTCCACTACACCTGCACCACAGTGGCCTTCGATTTTTTTCAAACTAGAACTCCATAAATGGAATTTATTATAAAACTCTAACCACTTATTTTTTAAATAATTACAAATTTTTCGCTTTTGCCATCTGAGCTGCTGGAAACCTTGAAGTCTAAAAGCATCTGCACTCTATAAACAAAGTATAAATATTTAAATACATGCTTATCAATATTTACAACAGTTTATGTTAAATTAAATTGAAAACTACATTTAGAAAATTAAGCATTTGTAGTCAACTACAAATTCAACAATTAAAATAGAATACAGCACATTTAGTTTCACTTATTGTAATCCAGGAAAAATAATGTCAGAAGCAGTCTTTGTCCATATTTTTGAAGAATTGTATTTAAACAATAAAATGTTTATTTAGGTACATACCTACCAATAATATTAATCTATAATATAATATAAATACATTGTTTTGATTGATTATAATTCATTTTTCTAAATTTCATTTACAGCATAGGCACTTGTAATAAATTATTGGTAATTTATAAAATAGGTATGTACCTACCCAAAGTTAACTCCATTTATTTCCAATTATTACTGTCTTAACATATCTTAAACATATAACTTACTTTCAGTTTTGCTTTTAATTCTTTCTTGTGAGCCATACTAATTGGCATAGTTTTAATTTTCATGATTTCTTCCCACACAAGCTCTTCATTAGATAAATTCTCTAAAACCATTTAAAATTATAAATTCTTTATTATTATTTATAATTATTTAAACATTTACACATTTATTAATGCAGCATTATATTACCTGACAAATCGGGCATTAGCGATATTTGAATTTCGTTATTACAACCCATAGTGTTTTGACATAATGTTCCATATTCCACCGGTTTTAATGTAGCTGTGGCTTGATAACATACAGTTCCATTATTGATTTTTTTCCTAGCTGAAAATCACAAATTCATATTTATAGAGTATAGTTAAATATTTCAGTATTAGGTATTTGAGTGTAAAAGAATGTTATACAAACATTAAGTAACGTTATGTGTACGTGTACCCAAAATACCTTGAAACTATAAAAATTTACAAAATAAAGTTCAATAAAGTATGTAAATCCATGTTTCATTATGAACACTTCAAAATGTATGCATTTATTTTATAATATTGTAATATGGTTAAAATGCTATGTTTCTATTAGGCAGTTATAGTTAACTGGTAGGTACACAGTTTTTAATTTTGTAAAACTATCTTGAAATAATATGTTATAAAAAACTGAAAACTTATAGTAATTGTTAATATTGCTTTAGTAGTAATCTTATAATATTTTATAAATCATAATGTTTCACATTTAGCATAAAATAAAACATTATAAATATAATAATGTAGGTGGGTAGGCAACAAAATCAGGACATTGGCAATTAGGCAATTGATACAGATACCTGCCCATAGATGTTATTTACAAATAATGTTGCAGTCTATATTGTTGTCTACGGCGTACGTTAAATAACGTGAAACTGCAAATTTGAGTTAATTTTAATTTAAGGATGAATTTACATATTATAAAATGTAAAGGTAAGAATATTTTCTAGTTTTTATATTTTTAAAAATATTTGATGTTAAAAGCATTTAAAAATTGTTCTACAGTTATAACTCACTTTTAAATTAAAATATCAACTAAAGTCAGTGATATGCTTTATATCGTAATTTTAATTTTAAGTTTGATAATATATGACAATTCGTACTGTATAATTTATAATGTTTAAGCTAACAACACAGAATATATTCTTCTGAACCCAAATCATCTGTGATGAATGATTGTAAGGCGGATATAATATGATATGAACACATGTGGCAGTATCATGTGCCTATAATTAACATTAACTGAATATGTGATATTTCATTTTCACGAATTTACTATAGTAATTTATTACATTTATAATGTATCAATAGTAATATTTTATGGCAAAGTGGAATATAGTATATTTTAACATTTATATCAACATATATTTTATTTACTATTCTATTAACTATTAGAAAATAGTTCTATATTTCTATACAGAATTAAAATGAATTACATTGGTATATGACATTACCTGTTCTTGTTTTATTACTGGGTAATAAAGTAGAAAGCTTATTTGGATTTTTTTGGAATGCCTCTAAATCTGCTTCCATGCCTGGATAGCTTTCTTGATAAAACTCCGAGCCGGCTTCTTCCCAAACATCTATACATTGTGACCTCTTCTTTCTTTCGCTTTCAGACATTCTACAGCTGTATAGAAATAGCTAATTAGATGGATTGTTATTTAGGTATTAATATTTCAATACATTACATTTATTGATTTCAATCTTCTAAAATATTTACGTAAATAATTTAATAAATTATTCTTGTCATTTTTAGTAATTCAAACTTCGTTCTATTTTGTCCATGATTTCTGTAAAAGCATAATAATATCAGTTATCAGTATTATAAATATCCATTCTAATAACTTGTTATGATAATCTTAATACACAAATAACAAACAATAAGGCATAAGAACAAAACCTATTCGAAAAAAAAAAATAAACGTTTCTGCAGAAAGTACATAATATTATATATATTACTTGGCGTCAGGTATCAACTATCAACTAATAAATATGAATTAGATTGGGTATAAAGTAATAACTAATAAGTTAATATGATTATTATACTTAATTACGACAATAGTGACTAAAGCTCTAGCACAGTAAATAGCACAGAAAAAAATCAAAATATTTTGAAAATTATAAATCATTATGTCTAGAAATACAAGTATAATTATTCGTTGAAAATTTCAAATTTCTACGGTTATTTATTATTATTTTTTAATTAAAAAAAAACAAGTCGATTTTGTCTAAATTTGGTTTTAACTTTGGCTTAACAACTGCGAGTTTTCCCTATTTTGATTTTTATTCGATTATTTTGAAAACAGCTAGACATTTTTATTTTTGTTCTCCAAAGTACTAAATAGTCATAGTATTCGGAAATTTGCTTTTAGAAACCACTTTCTTCAAAGTTTAAGCTTTTTCCTGCCAAAACGGAGATGGTAAACATAAAAAAAAACATTATTGAAAAAGCAATACATTTTTCTGTCCTCTAAAAATCTTAAATAGTTCAAAAGCTGATGAGCAACCAAAACAAACTGAAAATTATATTTAAGAATGTAATCAATATATTTTGATAGCCAATTAAATTGTATATTTTAATTAACCCATTAATATGAACTAACAACAATTTAGTTAACTAAGCCATAAAAATACGATAAAATTTAATTTAACTCTCAACATTTGGCAAACAGAATATTAAACTAAACAATAATTTGTCTTCATTTTAGTTTTACTCTACAGTGTTGTTCCGCCTTCCGCAATAAATAAAATATATTATACCATCGTTTTATACTATTTCAGTAGGTACTAATTTACGAATACTGAATACTATACAGTAAATAAAAAAATATATTTATAATATCCAGAATATATCATTGTGAATATTAGTCGGAAAAATTTGAGAAAAATTTAAAGATGAAATAAAGAAGGGGGGATCACTCTGCAAGTGTCTAGTTTACCTCCACTACATCGTCATTTAGTAAGTCACTAAAATGTATGTGTTAAAACTGAAATTTGAATTCAATGATAAATCATTGAGTACAAAAACGATTCTCAGAGAAGACAGCCAAGTGATACTATATTACTATAAGTATATTTTATGATACGTATTTTGATTTTGTTATTAAAGCAATTTAATTTAGTATTCGTATTACCGCATAGGTTGATAAAATTTTAATCGGAGACATTATATTTATTGAGTACCTATACCATAAATATTTAATTATTTTAATAGTAATTATATATTTTTATCATAGGTTTATTATAGTCATTCACTTTTGAGTCAATAAAATACGTACCGTAGAATAATGTAAAGGTTTGAGGTATAAACAGGCAATAGCCAATAATAGCATACAATTTATTAATCTAAATGTTTTGAGAATAATTAATTATAATTTATTTTATATTCTAACGATGATATATATTTTGGATTTTTTGGTATCAGAATAAAATATTTATGAGGAAGGAGGAACCTTGCATTACATTTTCAAGCATTAACTATAACATATTATGCGATATGCCTGTGCATCTATGGCATTTTTAAATATGTATGCATAATAATAGCTTATTATGGAAACCTTGTATTCAATTTTTAAGTTTTTTGACCACCCGGTTCTTATTTTATCGACAATTAGTAAAAGAAACTAAAAAATTTCAAAGATTTCACATGTATAAAAATGTATGTATAACTGCTCAAAAAGCATCAAAATATTTTGAAATGTATACAATGTATAGAAAATTCTAATATAAATATTTGGTGAAGACTGAAGAGTATGATGATTACTCATTTGTTGGTGGGATTACAACAAACCAAGAAATCAATTTTGTCAAAAATTAGTTTACCATAAAAAAAACTGTTTTTCCTAAGTATTAGATTTTGAGCGTAGCAATGAATGTATTGACTTGACTATGATAAGTGTATTTTATTTTTATTTTTTGTCTGTGTATAAACGATAAGTACCTAGTCGAAATAGTGTTTACATTTTCTTCTTCAGTATATTTTCTAGTCGGAAGGTGTAGTTGGTGTATGTAGTTGGTACTTTTGAGAGATCAAATTTGAAAATTCTAAGGAGTTTTCAAAAGCGTAGGAAAAAAATTAAAACCCGTTTTTGACTAAATCAGTTTTGATTTTTGATGTAACTCTTAACTATAGATACCTACATATTTTCACCGAATAGTTATATTAGCATTTTCTGTAGTATATGATAAAGTTAGCAAAATATTTTGACTCTTGAGCTATTTATAGCCATATGATTTTTTTTTTAATGTTTTATTAATTATTGTCGATAAAACAATTTTACTTGGTCAAAATAATTAAAAATTAAATACACAAATTTAAAAAAAATGCCCAACGTAACAAAAATCTGCAAATGATATTGAGTTAGAAGTTCATGAAAAATGTTCCATATGTATTTAATATTTGAAAATGTAATACAAAATTCCTTGTAAGTTCTCCTACCATTAACAAGAAAAAGTTTACTGGTAAATCAAACTCATTTTTTATGAGCGTTTGAAGTTCACATTTTTTTGACATTTATTGAATATCCACCCACAAATTAACGAATTCTCGTAGAACGGTTTTCTAATATTGTTGTAATTCAAAAACGTAGAAACTATAACCGTAGTACTTAAAACTTTCACGAAATATTTATGTTATTTTTTTTATACACGATAACATTTTCTATCGTTTTGATCTTTTCATAAACAGTTTTGGTTTATCAATAAATGCCAACAAAGTTGTTTCATTGAATGTTGGGTTAAAAAAGTTGAAAATTTAATACAAGATTGATTCCTCATAAGTTATTATAATATCAGTTAAAAAATATCAAAGATTAATAGGCACATTTTTTTTTTTATCAATATTCCTCAAAATCTTGAAACTTTGCAAATTATTTTGTAGTGAAAAATGTATAAAATATTCAATTTTTATAGCTAAAGATTAAACAATTTAAAAGAAGATTTCTCATAAGTAGTTAATACTAAAACCAAAAAATCTGAAAATTAGGTATATTATATTTACACTTTTTTTTGATATTTTAAGTTCAAATTTGGACAAAATTACCTAGACATTTAAGCTAAAAATAACAATTTCAGTTATTCAGTTGTGATTTTAAAATATTATACACGGGTATTTGAAACTTTTAAAGTATATTATCGTATTATACACACTCAATACGATATTTTTAAATGCAACTTTTTTTGGTCAAAATTAATTTAACCTGCTGTATTAGGTACTGATAGTAAAATAAACTTCTTAACTAGCAATAATATCATTAAATATACTTAGTCATATTGGCTGATATAGATATTATATGTTAGATATATGCTCAAATGAAAATATTACACATATTGTACTGATCTTTTCAATCTTATTTCCAGAAAAAAAAATTTTACAAGAACCATCTTATTTTGCCACCAGAATATTTAATTTCGTGATATTTTTTACATCGATTATTGTTATCAATAATGCTAACGTACATAAGGTAAATATATCAAATCAATTTTTCCGCTTATATGAAATTAGGTACTATTATATGTATATCATACCTACGCACTGCAGCTATCTGTATCGTTAAACATAAAATTACAATTTAATATTAAAACACAATACTATCATTATGTAATTTTTGTATATAGTATAAATTCCAAAATTGTGGTCTTTACCTACTCCCTACAACCCTACCAATATGTTTATTATTAGGAAATAAAAGGTTCTATCGATAGGTGTATTTGCAATGTATTAATATGATATATGAGTTATGTGGCATGTGCGCAACAAATATTTCTTGAAACTTTCTATTTTAGTGCCGTGACACAATATAATATAATTTTTTACGCACTATAAGACCATTCTGAAAATAAAAAAAAAACAATAATAAACTGGACGCTCGCAGGCTCGCCGTATCTAAATAATTACTACGCATATTTTAACATATTTTATTAAAATCTATAAAGTTACCTACATTAAGCAGGCATGTGTGAAGTTTTCGGACCCACCTGGATAGTAGATATTATCTACGAGCTGTGTCGGATGGGGTACGTTTCATAGGTAGGATAATATAATCATTATCAAATATTTTATCACATAATTATAATATTATTAACGTTACTTGATTCCGAGCGGACGGAGACGGCTGTCGGAACGCTGCCGGCTGGGCGTCGGACGGCGCGGGCGGCGGCAGTGGCGGCGCGACGACTGCAGCAGCGGTTGTCCGTCGGACGGCAGGGTGGCGAGCACAGCCGCGAACCGCCGCCGAGGCGGCAACAACACCGGCGGCGGCCGAAGTGCCGTGTCGCCGCCATGGCGTTGCAGCGCCGACCGGCCGCGACGTTAGTACGAAAATATCACGAAACGAACCAGAGACGAGAAATGTCTACTACCGTTGTCTTCGATGAAAAATTTTCAAATAAAAACACGAAACGGCTTTCGAGGGGGGCGTGGCGGAGAAACGCGTACTCGCCGCGGCGTTATTTTAATAATAATAATAATAATAATAATAATAACAACAACAACAACAACAACAGCTAATGCGAACGATAGCGATGTGGTAATATTATTATGACGTTTGGCGACGGCGACGATGTCCGCGTTACCTACCTATTTCGGGACGACGGCCGCGCGTTTCAAGACGGCGACGATATAGTTCGCCAGTGATGGGTCGGACGGGTGGGCGGTGGCTCTCGGCGGCGGCGGCGGCGGCGGCGACGACGACGACGACCGTGGTGCGACTTTAGTGTGCGTGCGCTTGTGTGAGTGTGCGCGTCCGAGATGGGTTTCGCGGGTCGGCCGCCGCCGCCGCCGACGACGATCGATCGATAACCACCCTCTCCGCCGTTCAACCCTGTTTTCCCGTACGTACACGCGCGTAGGTAATCATTTCCCTGCCGCCGCCGTCCCTTTGGCCACGTCATCGTCCGCCCACCCCTCGCCCGCCGGACACGGTGTGCAGTCTAGAAACTTTGCAAGCGTTTATAATGTGGTCTCGCCGCCGCAGTGGTTTTGATCACTATATAATACAAACACTGGTAGTGGTTACACGTTGCGCTTATTCGATGTATGTCGTACACTTGTGGGTATACTTGCCGAATACCCGGGATATATCCATAATATACCGATTACTGACAAATCGTTAATGTTCACCTTGTGCCATGACATCGATAATATACCTATATCTATATAATTTATGATGTTATAATGTATTTTATTACACAACAATATGGAGTCACTATAATAGCACTTGTTATCATTATAATAACTGTACACGTCTTGTACTTGAAGTTGTAAATGCTACGTCCAACTGCAGTGTACTAATTGCTATCATTATACATATAGATCGTAAAATAGTTGAGTTACAATGTTAATAATAATTTGCAAGACCAACGCCATTTATGACTTGTCCAGTCTTAAGATCATATTATTAATGTAACAAGTTACAAGTGGGTAAACTATGCTTTTACTATATATTGGCAAATTGCATTGTTATTTATTACAAACCGGCTGTATCCGTTGATACGATCAAACAACCACCAATATATATCAGCACAAACACCAGTAGAGTATCTGAAGCTCGAGTCCCGACCACGGGTAGAAGTGGTGATTAAATTAACTAGAACTTTTTATTGATACGGCCAGGGAACTCCCTCTCACGCCCCACATTAAGAGACTTTTTGAATTTATATTTTATAGTTATATTCCTTTTTCTTTTATTTAATGATTACTTGAAAATTGTACAACACAGCTGAAATTATAAAACACCACGCCCAAGGAGGGGTGATCCACTCATTATCCCTCTAATGACTACCACTGACTAACACTATGAGGTAAAGAATAAAATTCTAATAGAGTAAATAAGTAAAATTATAATAAAGGAGGAAATTGTTATGTATTATGTTTATGGAATTACTTTACTCTCAGCTTCCATCGCAGGTTACAACAGCTTATAATGAATACAGATTATATGTTTGACAATATTTACATTTTTATTGATTGTTTTTTACATGTGAGAGCACAGGAGAATGCAGGACTCAAATATAACTTGTGATAGGCATTACAGTATTACACTCTATCTTGTAGTTATCAATTTGCATATTAAAATATAATATTAAATATTAAATAGAACCATTGTATGATAACAATAGGTGCCACATATTTCGCAGAAATCTGAAGCATAGAACAAATATATTTTTTGCATAAATACGATTGTTGGGATTTATGGGAAGGAGGGGTTAAGGCACAAGAAACTCTACGCTACGCCACTGAATTCGAGAATGTCTCTCTGTTGTTTTGCATATTTTATAATATAGTAGGTTTAGAATGTTCCGAGTCATTAGGTAGGTCACTGTAATGAATATCATATGTTAAACTTGAATTCAATAGTAAATCATTGCATAGGTACGAAATATTTTACTATTAAGTATTAATTCATTAAGTCTATTCTAAAAAGAACGAAATTATAAATTTTACAAAAATGAATTGGCCCCTGCGACCTGCTTTGTTATTAGTATTTTATCAAATGCAACTCAAAATTTTCAAAACGCTAAATCGAAATTCAACGAATAGACTAGTCAAATAAATTTGGACAACCACGAATATTGAAATACTAAATTATTTTTACAATTTACAGAGATTGGATATTGAAAATTGTTTTCTGGTTTCAAAATTTGTTGAAGAATTTTTTCAATTTCGTATTGCTTCAATAAACAGTTTGTATGCATATCATGTATATTTTCATCTACGTACTCTTTTATAAGAGCATTCATTTGGCTCATCAGCATTGGGCGGTAAAGAACGTTTTTTTGATGTATGAAGTGCGTATTTTAATCTTTAATATTCAATATCCAAATATTATACCTAAATAGATACTATCTTATCGTCTACTTATTGCATATTCGTTAGTTAAGTTGTGATACACGAAACACAGTTTTGTAAAAACTATATTTTAGACGTCATCACATTGTACCGTTTCACAATTTTGTAATAAAATTTTCAATTGCCATAACAATTATTATGTAAAATATCATGTTTTGTACTTCCATAAATGATCTGTAGACTGTAATATTTCTAACCTAACCGTCACATAACCGTTTGGTAAAGAAAGACAAAATTAATTATATTATGCGACAGCTGCTGTCTTGTTGACGACCAAGTCATATTTACTCATACTCAAGTAAATTGGAAAATACATATAAAATAATTAATAATTGAACAACGGCGTGTGCGTAGGTAGTCAATTTCTCGCGTTATGAATGTTTCGAGAACTATGGATTTTTATTTAAAGCGATATTTATACCTCTGCCTGTATAATAAATTATACCTAAAATATTTTTTACAATTAACGCATACAACTAGTTTTTGTACTAACATAATATACATTAGGTATATTATAATATAATATCAAATAAAAATGTCGATGTACCCTTTTTTTTGGTTCAGGGGTGGGGGATCCGGTACCCCTGACCACCTCCCGTAGAACGTTACTGATGGTGTGAATAAAGTTTAAATCGAGTGAACTTAAAAAATTCATTGTGTATTTGAGACTTGAGTATGGTAAATATTATTATATTAATATAGAAAATCGAATAATATTTCAAGCGATTAATATTTTTTTAGTTACAATTTACGATGAAATAAGTAATCACTTAATAATACTAACATCGAAAATACCATTATTTTTTTGTTTGATATACAATATTCAATTCTGTACCAATTTATGTGGTACATTGGTAGCGAGTAGATACCTTGTATTTATTTTATTGCACAAGATATCCAAGGTTTTTTCCTCACAAACAAACATTTGATCATGTATATATTGAAAATGATAAATGTCTATAAATACCAAAACATTTTTTTTGATTATTCAATATCTAGAAAATGCTAATATAAATATTTTGTGAAAATGTCAAGTCTATATAAATTACAAAAAAAAAAAATAAGGTCATTTTGTCAAAAACTTGTGTTGAGTAAATATTACAGTTTTTCAATTAATATTCATAGATAAGAAACCGAACTTTCACCACACATTTATAGAAGTTCAAGTTTTAAAAACATAAAAATAATAATAAGTTTATTCTTATATCTATAATATGTGACATAAATAAAATAAAACTTTATTGTGTATACTAAGTTTCTTTTTATGGTGAAAATATGGTTTTTGAATAAAGCCTTGGTGGTTTTCTTGCAAAGTAAAATGGTTTTTAATAAATAAATTATGGACGTGAAGAAATTATGAAGATGAAGATAAAAATGAAGATGAAGACTTTATGCCTTTATGCAGGTCGGAGTCAACTCCGATTTTAAAATCTTTATTTTCAAAAGTCAGTTGACAGTTGTAGTAAACGTCTTCTAACTTATATAATATAATATCACAAAGTGACGAATATTTGAAACATATTTTCTGGCGTTATATAAAATTAATTTATGAATCAAAGTTCAATTTAATATAAAAACATCATTACATTGTAATAATAATTAAGTGTAGCTTATTAAACCTGAATAATAATTTTCTCTTTGAAATAAAAAACCATTATCAAAATCTACAAGTGAATTTTTTTTTTGTAGACGTTATATGACATTTTCCATTTCTGTAATACATTTTGATCGTTATTTATACAGTTTATTGTATGGACGCTGCGCCCTGTAATATAGAAATAGCCTGAAAAATTAATTCTTAATTTCTATTTAGGCCATAAGATACATTTTGGTTCCCTAGTTATCGGAACTTAGTTACTCAACAAGTCAACAATCAACATAAATACAACAATTAACTGAATCAACATAAATATTAGTAATTAATATTATAATATAGGTAACAGGGCGGGAAAATGATTTTTTCACTATTTGATCACTAAAAATACAAATTATGGTTACTTTTTAAACAAATATCTAAGTTATTAACTAGGTATCAAAAATATTTTAAAAACTGATCTATTCTCCACATCTTCGTCCAATCTCAGACCACCACTAAATAATCATAATACACGTACAGCGTACACAACGTATATTATCTGTTGCCTGTGGGCTGTTAAATAAATTGAGTTATTTGATATTAGCTTAGTAAAAATAAGTACATAAAAATATAATTATACGGTCCATGCCGTAACCCTTTTAGCCACTATACGTCTATACCTTATGGCTTATACCTACACGTACGCCGCTGCAGATAAACAAATGTTTAATGTACCTACACACTATAATACTATATTATATACCTAATAGCCAATTGGTGCGTTTGTTTTAATATGTTAACAAGCTTAATACTGAAATTTTTAATACAACAGAGAATATTTAACTACCTATTACCAAATTTAAATCTAAGATTGTAAAGTAAGTTATAACTTATAACATAAGGGTCTCCTAAATAGTAAATATGTGAGTTAGGAGTATTTATAAAATATAATTTTATAAAAATTGCTAAAAAATCTACGAGATAATTTTCTTAATAATTAATCTTAACCTTCTTTAAACCTTGATAATTTTTAATTTATTAAAATATTATAATAGTTCTGAAATTCTTAATTTAAATTATCGTAATTCTCGTGAATCGTTATCATATTATCATTATTGTTATTATTGTGTCAAATATTATGTTAAGGTGTTACATTTTACAATAACAAACACCAGCAGCTGATAAAACAGATTAACCATTGATAAGAAACGGATAAGCTCAGTGTCTGAAAGTCGTTGTTACTCGACGCTAAATATCTACAGATTATTAAAGTAGGTACACACTACAGACTACACAGTACACAGTTAACACTACACACACTACTCAACAGTTACCATTGTATATTTGTACGTGATCCGAGGTTGATTGCATCGCTTATTACGATTTACGGTGCAATATCTTACAGGATAGTAAGTTTTGTTCTAAAGTTTATTGAACAGCAATAATTTATTGTAAAGAAGTACCTATAGGTACATATAAGTCTGTAATTTAATGTCATGTTGTAACTTGAAACCTATTAATTTTTTTTTTTTAAAAACTACTTTCGTTATGTCTCTTTTATTTAATGTGAGACTAGTTAAATGCATAAAAAGAATTTTTCCCGTTGTTAAACATAATATATTGATTAATAATAATAATATTAGAGCAATAGCGTTTCCTAATTCAAAACAAAGTGTGCTAACTTCTTTAAGATACATTTTATCAAATAGTACAAATACAGCAAAATCAACATTTTTTGGATTTTCATTACTTGGTTTGATTGGACTTGACGAGAGCGAAAAAGATCGCGAATTAATCTATACCATTAAAAAAGGCCTGTTGTACTTACAAGTAAGTGAATGTTTAACTTATTTAGAATATAATATAGTATTTGCCTTTGCATATAATTTTCCTGTGTGCCTATGTATACGTATACTGCAGTTAATGAATAATTCAAAAGTAATTGGATAATAATAATAATAATAATATTATTATTATAAGGTACTTATTTTATAAATATAATTATGTTAATTTATACTCCTACATAGTCACTGCACAGTGTTTTACATTGGATCACTAATTAGTAATTTATACTAGGTACATGTACCTAGTGTGTTTTACATATAATTTGGTGATAAGTAATAATGAATAACATATGAGCATTGCATAAAATAGATAGCACAACTATGATCTATTCTTACACCTTATTTTATACTTATTAAATTTTACATAAATGCTTTTATGCTTTTATGTTTTACATTTTATCTATACATTTTATCATTTACTTACATTTTACTTAATATAATGTACATAGTGGCAGATAACTAAAAATATCATCACTAGAATTAACTATGATTAGCCCTTACTGATGTTATTATTTATTTTACTAACACCTATAACCATAATACTTATACACTATAACTTTCCCATTGAACACACATACACACATGAAACACATAAACATAGATACATATATGCACACATACATACATACATAAATACATACAGACATACATACATACATACATACATACATACATACATACATACATACATACATACATACATACATACATACATACATACATACATACATACATACATACATACATACATACATACATACATACATACATACATACATACATACGGGTATTTGTGCCGCTTTATATTCTGCCAAAATTGAAGTTATACACCCATACCAAATACCTTAGAATGTTCTGTATATCGCTTAAATATTAAGCGTATTACGGGTGTTTTAACACATAGTATATGAATTCACCTGTATCTTTTTTTGGCAAAAAACTGAAGATTATTTCTTAAGCAGTAATATTTTATCATAAAAAAATGTCCTCGTATAATATTGAGTTACTCATTTAGGTATTTATCTGTGCGATGCAAGTCTAGTGTTCACTTTTGTACTGTAAGACAAATAAAAATTATTATGAAGACTTTTAGCACACTTTAAGCTTTGACATTGCCTGCTGTAAAATTTTGGGCATGCATGTGATTATAAATATCTCATACTCATATTTTATCATAGTTTAAGAATGTATAAAATAATTAAATTTATTCATGATAAAAAGTAATAAATAATAATATTCTAATATTGTTTTGTATGTTTTAGAATGACGATTACAATAGTTTTGAACAAACATTACATGAGGCTCTCAAAATGGCTTATGATTTAAAACATTTTGATGGTATTACATATGTATATGATGTGTTAGCAAATGGAGCATTTATGAATAAGGAATATGAAAAGGCAAAAAATCTATTTACCACTGTCATTAAACGGTTGTTTGATCAGGGCGGCCTCGAAGATGATCTTAACGTTCTACACATAAGTCTTAAGCTTTCTAAAATTCACGAATTTCAAAAAGATTACAAGTAATTATAAAATCTTTAGCTTATGTATTAATTTTTTGATAATTATTCCAATTAAAAGTACAAATATCAATTTATTCTAATACTCTTAATTGAATTTAGTACTTAAAGTATTATGTGAATTACAATTATAAATTAATAATGTTCTCAAAATATTTTATTACTTATGATTTATAAGTATAAATAGTGAGTTTCTTAAAAAATTGATTCATTTAATGGTCTCTTCAAATGTAGTGGACCAATCGTGTTCAAATATTAATGGATATATAAATCATATTTGAGGGACTAATAGCTATTAAATTAAAATATTCATCAATCGATTCATTAAATGTCTAGTACTGCTTTATACTAAAAGCATCAATTTATTTATATAATTAATTGCCACGGAACAACCAAATGTTATAGTATAATACAAATAAAAGTGATATTTATCTGTAATTTAGACTTTTTTTTGTATTTTTTTATGATTAAATATAATACAATTATAAAATTAATTTTATAATTACATATAACAAAATAAAAATTTTAAAATAACTAATGTTTATAAATATTTTAAATTTATTTATGCATATTAGAAGGTTTTATTCTTTGATGTTACTAAAGATTCTTCAATTTTTAACTACAGTTTTCAATCTTTAGTAATTATATATTGAGTAATGTTGGTCAGCACATATTGTGTTTTTGAACTCAGTTTGAGTCACTCATATTGTTATTCTATACATTAATATATTATACAACATTCTCCTAAGTTATAACAACATTAGAATATTATTCATAGACTTACAGTTAATTAAGAATTTATTAATTATTATTTTTTTGATTTTTAATATTATAATGTTAACTTGTTTCAGAACTTCTGAAATTGGTTATTTGTTCTGTGTAGAACATTTGGAGAAGAAGATTAAAATTGATCCTGAAAATGAAGACGTTTTAGGTTTATATTCTATAACATTAGACGCATATGCTCGTTTTTTAATGAGCCAAGGACAAACTAAGAAAGCAAGAATTTATTTTAGAAATGCATATAATGCTAGTGTTAAGCTAAATGGTGAAGTATTTGAAATGAATGTAATTTTGTTGAATGATCTGGGAACCCTATACTATGTTCAAGGAAAGTTAGATAAGGCATTACACTACTTCAGAAAGGCAGAAAAAATTGGGCAACATCTTCCTGACATGGAAAACTTTTCAACAGTATATATAAATCTTGGTAATATTTACTTAAAACAAGGATTGTTAAAAGAAGCAGAAAAAAATTGCGTGGAAGGAATGAAAAATGCTAAAAGACATCGTTATGACGAGGGCAGAAAAGAAGCAGAAATTTGTTTAGCTGAAATAAAAACTGCTATGATGTGACTTACATTAAGTGAATTTATTTTTGTTTTGTAGGCCAAATATCAAATATTTTATTTCTTCAAATCTATAATTATGTTTTATTGCTATAATTCTCATAATTTTCTACAGTAGATAAATGTTAGTATGGAATTATTGTGTACAAGAAATAAATTGGAAGGTTATTAGTTATTTAAAATTGTAAGTACAGTTCAATGATATAACTAGAACTTTTTTAATGTATGTTTATATTTTATTATTATTATGAGTTTTAATCATTATATCGTTTTGTATAATTTACTCTCTTTACTGTCTGATTATTGAATATCTGAATACGGTTTCTCTTATTTATTTTAAGTTTAAGTGTGTCGACAATTGTGTAGAGTAACAATTAATTTTATAGCATCTTCTTAAACTATCATATTTAATTAGATTTTAATTATAGTTTGTACATCACTAGTCAATTTAGTTTAAATATTAATTTTTTTTCTGTCCAGTAATATAATTACAAAGTATGTGTACTATTATTTATATTTATTTCTACAATTTATAACTTATACATATGACACTTCTTTCTGGTAAACAACAGTACAATGTAACAGACACTAGTTATAGCGTATACGCCTATACGATAGATTAATAAATTGATGGATTTATTTACTAATTAACATAATTTCATTGTTTGTTCTTACTTAATACTTTAATATAAAATATTAGTTTTAAACTATGTATTGTATCTATAAATGTATTATCCAGTTATAAGAGTAAGACAATATTATTATAACTACAGAAATGTCAAGTTTATTTTTGAAACATATGTGTATATTGTTTACTTATATGGATAGAACACTGCTGAAATCTGAATCGCTTAAATACAATGTAATAATTAATATCATTCAAACTAAACAATATCATAAACCATTCAATTAAAAGACTATTTAAAAGTATTGATTATTGTAATAATGCATTTGTTTACAAAAAATAATGTAAACAAAATAATCCAATAGTAACAATTGAAATTCACCATTGGCTGTGTTTTTGTATTTGAGTAGTTTAATAATTCTAATCCCTCAAAATAAACCCCTTAATACCTACATAGAAAATATTTATAATTTGTTACATTTTTTACCAAATACAAATTAATGAATTCTTTCATACAGTAACTATTATTATATTAACATTTTAAATTATTATTAATATGAGACATAAACTATTATTATTATCATTTTAGTTTTTAATAATATTAATCTATTTATTATGTCAATGTTTTTATTATATTATTATAATTACTCTTCCATTATTTTTGATTTGTGTCACTTAATGGTAATTAAGTTATAGTATGTTAGGAATTACCAATATTAATTTACTATTCTGACACTATGATATGCAAGCATAAAATTGCCTTCAAAATAATACATTTTGTTTTAAAATTACAATGTTTATTTGCAGTTTTTAATTTATGATGTGGCACATACCTATTTGGCTATTTATATTGTATTTTCTATTTAAAGAACTTTAAATTATTTTAGATTGTACAATTAAGTAGCTTAGTTACTAATAATTTAAATATTGTTTTTTAATTTTTGTTCATATAGTTGTTTTTATATTGTTTTATGTTACCTACTTTTTTAAGTTATCTATTATAATTCTGATATAAATTAAATTGTATGATTTTCCTCTAGTCATTTAACTTACATACAAATTTGATTAATGTTATATGGACTATATAGTATAGGTAATTCCAATAAAGAATTTAATATCCAACCTTTTTATTTATTTTGAAAATATATGATTTAGTATTAAAAAAAAATTATTATGAATAAGTCTTGTTCCTATTTATTAAAAATGTTTAACTCATGATAATAGTAATATTCATTATAATGAAAATGCGTTTTATGAACTATAACTATATAAGTTTATGTTCTGTAAATATTTAGAAACAATATAGACAACTATCTTCTTCAACGTTATAAACATTGATTTATTTTTAATGTCCAATGTGTCGTATAGATTTTAATACTTTATAATAATGTAAACTAACATAATAGCTCTTTAATTACAATTTTATTTTAATACAATACTTATTGTTGTTATACGAAAAGGATATACCTATTCAGGACTTTTTTCCTGAAAAAAACTGGTTAACTTAATTTATATGAATTTTAATTTAAAAAACTTATTTTTATTTGTCATCAAAATTCACTTTGTTTTTGATAAAGCAGTTTATATTATTTAATTATTGTTCTATGAAAATATTTATAAACGTTGTGTTTATATTTTAATTGTTCTATTAAAGTTATAATTAGAGTGCAGATCTTTTGCATTAAAAATTATCAAATTATGCAGTTGAAATTGTGAAAATATAAAATTAAAAAACTTTTAGTTATGGTTATCAATAAATAAAAATATTTAATTAGATACCTATATTAAAAATTTATTAAATATTATTAAAATTTAAAATTAATGATCATTTTTTTTTTAAATTTTTGCTTCAATATTCATTTTGAAATTGGTCAATATATGCATAAATATGCAATAATTGGGGAAAAAAAGAAATTTTCATTACCTTCAAGTAAGTTAATTTCAATTTCGTCGAAAAAATGGCATTTTAAAATATCATTGTGTGTATAAAATATAAAAATATATCCTTCAATAGTTTCAAGTACCCTCAAATAATATTTTTTAATTAAAACAAAACAACTAAAATCATTATTTTTGGTATCAATATGTAATTTTGTCCAAATTTATGCTTAAAACAACTATAAACTATAAAAAAAACCATTTGCATTTTTTATTATATTTTTTTGTATTAGAATGAGCTAATTGCGTGGAACTTTGTTTTACATTTTCAATCATTAGCTAAAAAATTTAGCATTTTATAAATTTTTAACCTCAAAATAATTTGTAATTTTCAATTTTATAATTATATTTTTGTTAAAATGCTTATAAAAAAAAAATCTTACTTATGGAATTTTTAATATTTTTCACTGATATTGTAAATATATATCAGGAACCTTGTATTAAATTGTCAAACTATTTGACCCAACAAATACAATTTTAGTGACAATTATAGAAAAAGAAAAAAGAAAAAAAGTTGAAAATTGAAAATGTCCGTAAATAGCTCAAAATGAGTCAAAATAATTTAAACATTTTATCAAGTATATGAATTGATGAAATAAACTTCAAGTAACTAGTTACAGTTATTACAACAAAATAAGAGCATCGCCACATGAGAAATGAAGCAAATATCCTATATTGTAAAAATGTCAACTTCAAAAGCTCATACATTTTAATTTGACTTTCCGTTAGAAATTTTTTATTGATAAAGGTAGACAAATGTATAAGGAATCTTGTATACTATTTTTAATTCTTATATTCCTATAAAAATAAAATTGTTATGTATTTTAAATTCAAAATTGCATATTTTTTGATTTTTAATAAATGTGGTTAGGTTAATTCCATTTAAATGGTTTTACACAACACAATTAAAAGTGGCATCTCTAATACGTTTAAACACTGTTAATTGTTTACCCTAGAACAGTCATTACTAGGGCAGAGGACTTGTAAGTTGTAGCTCTAAAAATCACCACATATACATTAAAATACACGAAATATGCATTTTAAAATTACTATACATATTATAATGATTTAAAAAATTAATATTTTTTAATAAAAGACAAAATTATTTCATAATAATTGTATGAATATATTTTATTTAAATTTTTATGTCTGGGATTGGGGTCCCTATGGCCTGTATCGATAATATTTTATGCAGTGAACAATATCTATCCAGAAATAAAGTTAATTACCGGAAAATAAATCTAATCGGCAATCCTCGATTTCTATAAAACATGAGTGTAGTGGGAACAGTCAACAACTATATTAATATGACCAAAATTTTAAATAATTTTGAATTCAACATTATTTTGGTCGTAGGTACATTAAATATTTAAATTAAATGCAAACTCCGACGGTAAATTTATTGATAAAATGATAAATTATTTTGAAATATGCATCTTAAAGTATAGATAATTTAAGAAGTATGCCCTAAAACCAAAAAAGAGTTTTTAAAACTCTGTTTTCGATATGCATCGAAATATGCATTTATATCCAAAATAAAATTTCAAAACTAGTTTAGTTTTAGTATAAAACGTAATTGTTTCTTACTCTTTATTTTTTGTGATTGTGCAAAACAAATATATATGTCAATGCTACAAGTCCACTGCCCTGATCATGACTTATCTATACTTTATAGTGAAATTCACACTTAAATAACGCATTCAAATAATCAAATATTCAATATTGGAATTGGAAAATGACTTATTCTATTTTTCACAAATGGTATGGATTTTTTTTCTGATTCTTTATGTTATTAACTCATTTTACACAATCTCTTATGTAACATCCTTTTAATAACAGTGTTTTTAGTTGGATTCAGTTATGTGATAAACTTTCGATACATTTCTTAAGGAGTTTAGTCAAGGCAATGGGTGTGTGTAAAACATTAACGCTCACGACGCTCACGTACAAGTCACCACCGCGGAGCGTTGTCTCGCGCATAAAATTAAATTGTGGGTACCTATTCTATATTGTTATTGTTGTTAGGTGTTAGATTGAGTAGATTATTGTCGATTGTTATTGATCAAATACGTACAAAAGCCGCAACAAGTTCATTGCAATACAGTAACCTACTGAACCACGGGTACACTTCAGCTAATATACAGGCATACTGGCGAGTACCTGTTTTGTGGCTTTTATATAAAATAATATTGATGTTGAAGACATTATTAACATTGTTAAAAATAAAAGTGATTTATTAGATTTTGGTTAATGAAAAATATGAATTTCGTTTATTGTTCAGTAAATACTAATATTTGAGAGCAACATATTCTTTACAATTTCAAAATAACTAATAGGCAAGAATGGGCTGATACCATAAAAAACATATCCAGGACGAAATAAATTTGAGGTTCAGTAAAATAGTTTTGCCGGTTGAATTTTTTTCATAGTCCATTAGTCCACGTCCACCACTGTATAATATGAAAGTGCAAATGTACGATATTAATAAATCATATACCTACCTAATTTTGCAAGTAGGGCTAAAACAACAATTTAAATTTTAAGCTGGGTACCTACCTACTCATAGAATATATGTTATACCTACGCTGCACGTTTAGTGGATTAATATGCTGTTTGCTATGCACAAAAATATAAGTACCTATCTACCAATAAGGCAATATCTATTCAATATTCATTAAACCTACCAAATTGTATAATACTGGTTATTTGTAATATTATATTTTTATTATTTTCTAGTTATTAGGTACCTAATATGAATATTTCCAGTCGTTTCAACTATAAATTGCTTGTAATGTTTGTATATTGATAGGTATTTGATATATTATATCATTCAACTCAATGATATATGAGTACCTGTTTTTTTTTTTTTAAACACATAGTTTATTTTAAAAAAATGTTTAATATTTAAAAACGAACATACGTGTACTAAAATCCAAGACTAATCAATTTGTGGTAGGTAGTGAAATAAAATAAGTTCTTAAAAATAATAAAAAACGAGATTTAGGAATAAATACTTTGAAAACCACACACTTAAGATGCTCTAAAAAAGAGTGCTAAACATTTCACCCAGTTCCTCAAGCATAAATATGTTTACATGATACGTGGGTACATATGTAATGTAAAAGGTAGGTCAGTTAGGTAGTAGTTGTAAATTAATTAAATTATAAAAACTTTGTTTACAGACAAGCTCAATACCTATAGGTAGTTTATTTATGCCAATTCTCCCTAACAAATCCAACAACACTTTAAAATTTTGCATATTTATTTAATTGAATACACTCAATTTTATGGTATGGATTAAAATATTTTTTTTATCGATTCCGACAATAGGTATTTTGTCCTCAGACGTCTCGTGGTGGCTGTACGCCGACGTCGCGACGCCAAGGCCCGGAGCACCGCTGGCTGCCGTCTTTTCATTTTCATAGTCACATAATCATAGAACCAGATCTCTGGCACCTCTGCCCAATTTTTGTTGCAGTCTACCCAATTGTCGTCGTTGTCAATGGTGGAGCGGCAAAAGCTCAGTAGGAAATTCATCACGCACAACCAGAATAGAAACCAAAAAAATAGCTGTCGGTATTGTTTGTAGGTATTAGACATAATATGTTTATTATAATAAAATATCACGCACTTGTCCAGAGAAAATAAATAATAACGTTATAATATTTATACATTTTTCATACATTTATGATTTTATGAAAGATTCATACATCACTATACAGTTGTAAGTGGGTAATTAGTAATTACTTATTACTAATTAAGTAGGAAGGTACCAATGCGTTCAACTCATTAGCGTAAATAGAATGACTTTGCAGCGCCTTCAATTCACGAATGTATTACTTCCCACTGCACACCTAATTCCACTCACCAAATTATTTTAAAATATCAATAAAAGTAGGTACCGCATACTTTTTAATTTGATACTGCGCCCAATAGTAGGCCTTTAACTACACTAGGTATACAGGGTGATTCGCCTAGCATGCTCACCCCCTTCTTTTTCAATGTTGCAGTTATTCAAAATCTGATTTTTTTTAAAATGTTTATCTTTAAATATACTTTAAGACCATATTTTCGAATTCTTAAGTTTTTTTGTACTATTTAGAAGTGTCCTGTAGAGATACAAGCTTTTGTATTTGAAATGAGAACAATCTTATTTATATATCAATTTATAATTTTTCTGAAATTTTTGACGAATTTTTCTGAAAATTCAAAATCGAAATTCGTATTAGTAGTTTTTCAGTTTTTTAACTTTGTGTTCTAAGGATAAAAAGTCCATAGTACTGAGTTTATAAGATATGGGGGCTATGGTGATTTGAAAATTGTAGTCATTAATATTAATCTATCGATATTCATAATTTGTAAAAATGGTCCAAACATAATGAATACTAAATCCTATTTTACATCAATTTTATGTACATGTATAATCAGTTTTAAGGGCTATATTATCCTTCATACAAACATTTTAATAACCAAGAAACTACTCATTCGAATTTTGAATTTCCTACACTCGTACATCAAAATTTTCAAAACAATTATCCACTAATTAATTTACAGTAAAAGAGGGGAGTTCTCATTTGAAAAACAGAAAATGGTATCATCACATTACTTTCCTTAAAAAAATACAATCAAATTCAAAAATTGGAAAATAAAGTCTATAAGTATATTTAAAAATTCCAAAAATCAGAATTTGAATTAATTTATTATTAAAGGAAATAATGGAAATGAGCATGCTCATGAATCATCCAACACTATAATATTATAAGTGAGTTATATATTGACTTTGATGTACAACACTTATCTAGTTTATATATTATATATTATAATTTTTTGTTGTTACTTGTTTATAAATAAAGACATTGTTTGAATACTATTGAGCATCATTATAATTCTAGAAATAAACTTAATTCTAATTTTAATTTTATTAAAACTCGTAGAACAGTAACCTCTCAGTGTCCAATTTACAAATGTTCAATTGTATCGAAAATTAAATTAAAATTGTTTTTAATTTAATAATGTTAACTCTTTAATCGATCAAGAGCATTTGAGGGTTAGCAAAAACCTCGGATTTATAAAAAAAAACCTAATTACTTTTTTTTAAATAAAACCCCAAGGTATGTATTATTGTAAAAGTAATAAGGGGTGGTTTTGTTATTTTTTCCATTTATTAGTTACACCATTTTTCCCGTATCTCCTACACATCTATGTCGTTGAAGAATGCTTAATATAATAATACGTGTCAGCCCCGCCAAAAACTATATGATAATATGTTAGACGTAGACATTCCGACATTTTCCCATCGTTGTTATGTGGTTTTTACCTTTAATAGCGTTGTTAAGTTTTTTTGTCTGTTCTTTGTTCGTAAATAATTATTAAACTGTTAAGTTAAAATTTATTGGGCAAGCCACCATGCAGACATTGGTAGTGGTCGTAAAGCCGGATGGTAATGTACGGAAATTGAATCTATATTTATTGGTAATTACATTCTTTGCTTATCAAAGTTTAATTGGAAAAATAAATAATACCTACAAGGTAAACTTTTTTGAAAACTAACACAATTTAAAATAAAATGTAGACTGTATTTCGATTTTACCCTGAAAAGCAGTATGGGTTTTTATATGGATACCTATTTCAAAATATAAAGTAGGCTCCCACAAAAGCAGCCCGGGTTTTTTCATGCAACCAACTTAGCTCTTAGCAGCCTCTACCTGAAAATAATATTAAGATCTTCACTTACCATAGAGACTTCATAATACGGCTGCACAGTTGTTTGGCTAAAAACAAAATAATATTTAATCATAGTCTCTTTGAGATAGCGGAGAGAGGTGTGGTTAGTTCAGATACTTACAAACTAAAACGAAAATAATCGTTCACTGGAAGTATTGATATGATTTCGTATAATTTTAGATAGCAGTCGGTTAATTGTAAAAATGTTACCGCCGATCTTACCACACAACAAACATCGTAGCAGTTCAAAAATAAACCGATGTCTACTAAACGCCGCGACTGCATTCCAAACAACGCACTGGTTTATGGAAAAAAAAAGTAGTAAAAATAATAAAAACAACCATACGGTTATACCTGTACTATATAGGTAGTTCACATTTTTACCGAATTCATTAAAACCACGAAAATATGTAAAAAAAAATTGTAGTTCAATAATAAATAAATTAAAAATACATGAAATGTTCAATTTTAACGTAATAAGCTTAATAATTTGATGCACAATACATATAATTTTAACAACGTTTCAAACGTTCAAATGTAATACGATTTCTCCTTGACCGATTTTCGTTGTTTTATTATTTTTACTCAATAAATATTAACTGTAGCAACAAGAAACATTCCACTTTAACTTAAATTTTCATTTTCCATACACTATGAAATTTTCAAAAGGTTTAGATTAATTTTAAGCTAGGTACTTATTTATGAATACTTTTTTAACATAAATTAATATTATTACCTATGAAAAATATATTTTTGTTATAGGCACAGCGTAGTAAAAGTGTTCCCGTTATTAAGAGCATATTTACGTGATTGAACATATTTTAAATGTATATTATACTAGTTAAGTGATATTTCAAAATATTTATAGGTATTAATATTGTACACTTTTATAAGTTATAACGTACCTATGAGATAAATACGATAAACCTATTAAACTAATCTACAATACGTCGACTCTTTTCATAGGTGCAATTAGGGGGGGAGGCTAGGGTGGCTAGCCCCTAGTTTTATCCACAGCCATAATAGTTTTTTATCATATTTTAGTTTAAATATTAATTTTCAATTGTACCCCCCCCCCCACACACACACACACACACACAAATGTTCCTACTTGCGCCAATGACGTCGGTATTGACTATAATTGACCCTTATCTTTTTTTTTAAATTGTAGCTCATTCATATTATGACAACAATGCATTTTTACTACCTCAAATTTTGATGTGAGAAAAAAAACACACATCATCGTCAATACAATACATTCATCGCTAAGCTCAAAATCTAAATAACTGAATGGTAACCATTGTTACCAAAATGTCAAAATGTTAGATCATCTCTTCTCATGTGTAATACAATCATTACAGTGAACTGTATAGGTTAATTAACATTATACACTCGATGTCTCAACGACGAGGAATACTCGATACCTACCTATATCAATTTACAGCACTAATTTACAGTAGTGGTTGCTATTATTTTGTTATACATTTTACCAGTAATTAAAAACTAAAATTATAATTGTAAATTAATCAAAAATATATAGTAGAATTTTTCACAACCCGTGCCCATGCCCGGATGGATCACGTTCACTTGTAGTGTTGACCTACCACCTATACCTACGCTCTTATTGTAATGCACACGATCGAGCCAATCAGCAATAACGGGTTATTCATGGATGTGTTGGCACAATCTTCGGTCCTGTTAGATTGGATAACCCTGCTCAGCAGATCCGTTCGGTTATCCTTATTCGACCAGCCGTGCTCGGCCAGCGTTGCGTTTTTCAGGAAAGATCGGTATTGTGACTGGGCTTGTAGGGACAGGTAGAACGTCCCGCCGCAGACCATGCACGTGACAATCGTCATAACGTACGCGGCCATGCGAGTCCTTTGGATCCTGGACGGCAACAAGTGTGTTTCCGTCAGCCGGACCTCGTTCATACTTCCGTTTTTATTTATCGGTCTATTATCTTGGATAACATTAATATTTGTAATATATCACAAATAATGTTTGTGCTTTATGGTACCTATAGGTGAAACCTTTTAGTAAGGGCCTATTTTGAGATAATTGTGGGGGGGATACCGGGATCGAAAATTTTAAAATTAAGTTTTATTACATAACAAGTTTATCGATCACTTTGTTTATTTTTATAATTTTTATATAGTTCGTACATTTTCAATAAGTATATATATCCATGGTTACGTAACAAAAGCCCTAAAAGAAGCTTTTTCAAAGTTTTTAGGATATGAGAATAAAAATAAGCAATTTTTGAGATTTTCGGTAGGATTGCTCTATAAAGTTCACCGTAGTTTAAATAATGATATCATCTATTTTATTAGTAATTTATACATACCTATAGGGCATAGGCTATAACCTATATAGGAATCAAAACTGTAATTTATTATAATAAATTGTAATCTTTTCTTTTTCTAAAGCTAATACTTATCAACTAGATCCAATTTTCCGCAGAATCCGAAATGTTAAAAATCAATGCAATTTTACTGCTCCAAATGTGATGGCTATAAGGTAGTGAAGTTATTGCACTTGAATCTTTTTTTTAGATGCTCATATTTACTGCTAAGTGAGCTTTAAAATTATTATTATAATTGTGCATATAGTTAATACATTTTAGAAAAATTGTGAGTTTTCTTTTCTTTCATTTCAATTTTTTGTTGTATAAATAATAATTATAATTTAAATAACATCAAATTTAAATAAAAGTCTTACATATATTTTTAATTTACACGTTTCCCACCATCAGTCTAATAAAGTATTCGAATATAAGTATTTAAATACTTTTTTTTCATTTGAATAATATAGGTATATTTTAAACTCTCTTTGATAAAATTATTCGAATACGTATTCTATATAATTTTTTTTGTATTTTTTTATTCATTAAAAACTGAATATTTTCTAATATTTTTTTTCCCATTTTGCTGTACAACTTGTTTACTTAGTACATTAAAAAAAAATTAATACATCGAATTTTCTTCTTATCATTAGTGTAATTTGTTTGCTTTGGGTTTGAGCTCTTATTTTCCAAGAATAATCATAATATTTATAACGACATGTAGATACTGGCTCAACGACCTGTATCTTATTTAATTTAGAGCGGGATTAAAGATTTTCCACGGCAACGCGTTTTAAGTCGATTGCGCTTGTTATAATACATACATTAAAAAATATCATTTGTATACAGTCATTTGTTGAGTTCACATTATTCTTATCATCCGAAACGGTGGCACAAAGTGTAACCATAACGATCGAAGATCGACTAAGAGTCCACTAGATAGGTATGACAATTATTTGATTTATAGCAAAATGGGTAACGAGAATGGTTTGACAAGTAAAAGTACTTTTAGAATTGTTCGTTATAATTTTATCCAATTCCGTGAATATTTGATTTTCAAACACTTAAAAAAAAACTGTAAATACATACCTGTTTTCGGCATTTTTTAAAATTACAGTCAGAAATATTTGTTGCTTTGGGTACCTTGGCGATTGTTGTTGATGAGATCCATCCATCTGTGTTTCAACTTTCAAATACTTAAAAGTTACAAATTACAATATTATCACATTTATCAGTTTCTCAATAAAATATCTGTGATACAAAAAAAAAA